TAAGAAAGAGAAGCTTCCCTCTGGGTAGTGCGATTAAGCTATAGTTAGGTGAAGAGCCCTGTTGGACCCGACTTGACCATGCAGTTGCCTCGCTTGAAATTTTTTGTTTTTTCTCATCTTTCACTGTAGACGTATTCTCGCACCAGTGGTGGACTGTGCGATCGGGATTCTGGATCTCTTTGTACGGTTTAAACTAGGAACTTTAGACGTCCCAGGTGAGCGTCTCATTGTTTGTTTCTCATACTGCCAACACACATAAATAAGCGCATACACGTCCAAGCGTTTTGACGCTCGCTTATCGCTAATTGTACACGAGGCGCCCCATGCCCCAGTTGACTACTGTAGTGGGCTTTCCAAACGAAAGATAGGCGACTCCAAGGTGCGTCAGACAATCAAATGTGTATTAGGTGAAAGGTGTAATTGCCGCTTACAACAACCATTACTAAACGATAATGGTTGCCTCAGAACCCCCAAACTGGCTTCCGGATCCCCTCTGAATTTTTGCTCCACGTGGGGCTTGACATGCTTCGGCTACTGCCGACGTGCACAATGCAGCTGATCACAGAAGAGTCTTCACTCCTCGACCAGACGCTGGGTAGTACTTATCGCTCTCCCTTTTCAGCATAGTTCCACTTTTACACCTGGACCGAATCGCACTGTGGTAGTACTTGGACCGACTACACTCACTTCATCATATGTCCGAGACATTACGGGGACAAGCTTTGTGGTTCCTCTTGTTTTCCTACGAAACATAATGGATTGTGATGTGTCTCAAAAGTTGGAGGTGGCCTCTGCCCTTGTTGTCTGGTCTCGTTTCCGCAACCAAATATGGGCGCTACTTTGAATGAAACCATTACTCTCACAGGAAGTAACATGCGTGGTTTCTCATGCGAATAATGGCAGTCATCGATGGCGGCTGTTGATTCCTGATAGAGCTACCATGCATTTCAGCGTCTCAAATCAACTGAAGGAAAGATAACATGGGCACCGATTAGCATAGACTTTTTCGTAACATACTGCATTCCCTACTGTCAAGTCATGTTTCGCTCGACTCCAGGTTTTCGCCACACCTAATTAGGCGCAGAAAACAACGCTCTTGTTGGTACACGGCGATTCGCCATGCTTGAAATGCTGGATGCTGTCCTCGGGCTAAGCATTTCTTAAACGAAGTGACTGCTGCTTCACCAAATACTTGTTTCCCATACATCTAACTGTGAGTTCTCTGATCCCATCGATTGGTGCTTAAAGTTCTGAATATTTTCAAAGTCTCGCAGTTGTCCAACTATACTACCCACAGTATGTTCTGATGCACGCGTCCTCTGGGGTCTAATGAAATACCTTTTTGTGCCCAAATCGACAAACTCAATTCTAGCCTTTGGGATTCGTTCGTTGAATTAGTTTAGCACACTAGTGTCACAGCTTAGGCAACAACTCCGGTGATACGCATAGTGCTCCAAATGATCCAGTCCTTCACCTTCAAAAGTACACGTCCCACAGCACCATATTGCTTTTGTGGGTCCGAAGCTCATGGCGGGATATCGGATGACTCTGGTCAGCTTTTCTAGTAATGCTTGCGCTGTTCCATCCAATGTCTTCAGTATATTACAGGTTGACAAGGTTGTCACTCGCATAAACCTGGACATCGGACTTGGGAGACCCTTTAGAGCCCGCCCCATCACCTTCAGTAAAAAAGTACACATCCTTGTAGATAATCAATGTTTGCAGGAAACTTTTACAGGGCTTCGCATACACTCACACGCTCAAAAGTCTGAGTTTAGAGTTCATGGTATTTATAGTCTTCTGAGGCATACTTCGGCGCATGGCTGAGAGTGAATCACTCAACAGAGTCGAACACACCAATATCTCGGGGTACCTGTACGCATGCCGTTGCTCTAACAGTTGACGAAGAGTGAAGATATGGTCCACACTACCCCTTCTAGGACGAAGTCTTCTCTGCTGTCCTCAGATCGTCCTCACGTTCCCTCAAAGTTCAGCCACGTGACAGCGTGGATCAAGCTAATGCCTCTGCTGCAGACTACTAACTGTTGACCAACCCGATATAAGGTGCTGTGTTAGTGTCACATGCACATGTCCCTATCTAGACGAGATATGAAGGCGCACAAACCGACATACCGCTGTAAGACCCAGTATCCGCTTACGCACCACTTCGCTTCACATGCGCTGCCGCTACCTTTTTGCGTGCTACGAGGCACCGGTAGTCAAATGTTTGGGATCTTCAGATCAGAGTGAACAAGTCTCACGTTGAATACACACTCTCTCGTCTTCGGCGAAATTCTTTTTTGACGCCATAGGTGACACAACGTGAAATTAGCATGCCAAGCGACACACCATTCTTGCGATGTTTTGATACATGTAGAAATTCCACTTTGGCTGCAACCACGAGTAGATCTTCTGAACATTTCATTGCTATCCACGAAATAATGGGGCATTTTTGTCGTTCATTTCAGGACCGACAGTCATCCATGTGACCCTACCTGCTATGGGTTCGCCAAAAGATGATGATTCCAGCGTGCTTACGGCTTGTGCGAGGCTTCTACAAAGATTGTCATCCGACATGAACTAAGACCAATATTCCAACTTGTGCATGGCTCCTCCAGGCCTGTTCGGCGCTGGACAGACTACCACAGCCAAATTCTGTACATAAGTTCGGACGATTGATCACTTTGAAGTCCTGTCCTGATTATTTCTATTTTATCTTGCGCACATATATTTCTGACTCTGATAATCTTGTTTTTGTCGAATCTCGGAAGAATCACTTGGACGGAAACTTTTTTTCTGCCACTTAATTCGCTGGCTAGTCAGGTTGCTTGGTTACGCGTGTCGTGGCATCTGTTCAAACAAGCTGCATTGGCATAGATGGAAATTTGAGGCTAACTTATTCTGTTACCGTCAAGGTAGTTGTCGTGTACACAATATACTGGCCCACCGAAAGCTGGCCTGATAGATGGCTTAATTTATTACCCTTAAGGTTCTCTATCTTGCTACGGCGTTCAGAGTTGTTAGGCTGCCAATCATCTTTTTGGCCATCTCGTCCAAAAGAAACTTGTATTGCGATCCCGCTGCTAGACTTCTGGTTGCGGTCTTCAACAATCCAGTGAATTACTTTGAGAAAACCAAGCGCATACAGTCGTCTTATAACAAGATGACGGCTGTGTTCCTCTGTCCTCTTTAGACTACCTCGGTCGGTGGAACATCTTTTAGCGACTCTGACCCTCTTAGAGCTCATTAGGATGGTTTCCCAAAAAATGAAATGTCCAGTTTGATAGAAATTACTGGACCTTCCTATTCACGCCATCGCGCTGACATTTAAAAATGTCCCCGGAAAATTTGCAAAACGAGACGAAAATCAGCACTGAGCTACTGTGACTGATCGCGTTTGAATCAATCATACTGGTTTTTACTGACCGCACATTGCGTATGTAGGTAAAAGCGCCCAGCGAGCGGTTAGTTAGAATATGGTTCGAGCCGTACTTGTAACATGATAAGCAGCCGTTCGTTCCCAGTTAGGTCGTGTTCATGACCGGTTCTATTCAGCTCACTGTGCATCCTGATAGATTATTAGCCTAGTGACTTGGTAACCGATCAACCCAAGTACATGAGAATAGTGCAAACGACCACATGTTTGACGTTCATATGTTCTAGCGGACAGTGTTTTGATGCCCCGTACGACAGTATTCTTCACTTATAGGCCTATTAGCTAATTCTGAGACTGCTAACGCAAGAAGTGTAAGTTTCACTCAGGGCTATTGGATACCCATACATTCCGCACTGATGTTTCGCCCGACTTGTCAAAAGATACACTCAGGAGCAGCCGAGCGCTTGACACGGGCTTCTTGCTACGTTCGGCAGGACGACTCAAGTCCGGATAACCACTACTGTTCCAGAAGCTGTACGTAAGACTCAGTTTTTAACCAGGCGCTGAGAAACCGAACTAACGCGTAACGAAGAGACCATACCTTACCGCGGCGTTACGGTTCGTGTACCTCAATAACCCATTAGGCTATGTGGAATGTGCATGTGCCAATTTGGCCAATCGGTAGAGGTCTGACTGACGGTCTCCAGATCCTCAAGTCTGGGAGCTGGAAAATGCGTGGCGACTTACACCTTAGAAATGCAGGCTTCTCTGACGGTCTTAACCCAACTACCACTGCCTTGCGCTTAGGCTTTTGAGCCAAAGTCTTTGGTTTAGGACTTAATCGTCTACCACTGCCTTGCGCTTAGGCTTTTGAGCCAAAGTCTTTGGTTTAGGACCTTAATCGTCCTATTGTCTAGGTGTGGGTACACTAGCACTATCCAAGTCCACGCAAAACCATGAATTGCACACTCGCAAATAATCCCATGATGAATCAAACCAACTGAGTCAAACATGAAAGATATAACTAAAACGGGAGGCTTAGTGCGGCTGAATTTTTGTAATTGAGTCAGTCTAACGTGATTTTCTCAAATCTACCGCTGCTCGTGCACGCACGGAATCCCACTAGTCCGGCCGACAGCATAGTTACAAGATTCCATGGCAAGCGACTCGTAGAGACTTGACAGCCGAGTAACCCGTCGGGATTCGCCAAATGGCCATATGAATCATGTGAACCAGACCGGTCCGGATTAAAGCAATCGCCTGTTACAATTGCAAAACACAAGTGCCACTCGTAAATTGAGTTATAGTTTACTTGTGCGAAGCCAATGAACGTGTTCATCTTCTCGGTTTTTTCCCTTTGTGTTTGTTCTTTTTATGCCGCAGTCGTTTCAGTTTTTTTCTCTTTTTCTGAAAAAATACTTTTATTCGCTGGTTCATCACTGTACCTTGGTTGGAAATGGTTGGTAGTCCACACCTCCCTCTTCATCTGACTGAAAGGAAAATGGAATTTTGTAGTTTTATTGTTAAGCACAATTAGAGAGAAAAACTACAGTCTGAAGAACAATTTATAGAATTTTCCATTTTAGTGCACTTAAGACAGAATTTAAGCCCAACCTCCTTAGAACCAAGATACCACTGAACCGTTTAACAGCAAGCTATGAGAACAAACATCCGTCCAAAGTGTCGTTCTCCGGCAGTAAACTTCGTTTCAGCACCGGTTGAACACAACCTGTGATGTTTTCACCTTCAGTGTTATCCAATGTAGCTATTGCCTTTTGTCCACTACCATACACTAACGTGTATCGATTAGGCGGAGTGCCAGTATCGTCACCATCGTCAGCTGTAAGAACGGTGTACGTGCCAGGGTTTCTAGCTGACACAGTTCCGCTCACTAACGATATGGGGACAAGGGATACGCAGCTACGCACTGGAGGTGGTACCGAATGCAAGTACAGTCTAAATACACAGGTGTCACTGGATTTTTCATTCGAGATATTGAGCAAGGACCTATGAACTGAAGTCAATACGTTGGAGGCACGAGCGCCAAAAAGGGCGGAACTGGGGCACATATGGCAGTGTCACTAACCACCTAAGTGTTCCGCCTCGGGGTCCTAATCCAGGGAGACGGCAATGAACAGCATTGCTGAGTTTGCTCTCATACTTCGTTGCCGAGTCATTGTTTGACCACCCTTGGCTCGTTTCCACCCTCTACGTGTTTGCGCGAAAGAGCCCTTTGAGGTCGACTGGTATACGCAGCACCTGACCAAGCCAGCGCAAACTATGGAGTGTGATCAGTTCATCTGTCGTGAGCAGGCTCTCTTCCGAAAACCATTCGACATGATTCAGCATTACTAACCCGACGTTCTCACCAGACTCGGGCGATGATCCGAAGACATCAGTGTTCAAATACTAGAAGTTTTTCGGTGTCATCAGCGTGCAGCGGCCAGTTTTCTGACCCTCTTAACAATACAGAGCGCACCATCGCATTGTAAACTGAACATCTGACGGATAAGCTCATGTTACGTGTACGTCACAGGTGATGCAGGTTCGCGAAAACTTCTCTGTCCTTGCCAATCTGGATGGAAATATCACATTTTGCAAGACCACCGGACGGATAGGTAGACAAATTTGTCCACTACCTCAGTCGGCTCATCCGCATGCATGAGGTTAAAGTTCGATCCTACTCAGTCCTGCAGCATTTACTTACACTTTGCAGGTATGAAGCGCATGCCAAACCTTGAGGCGGAATTGTTTAGATTATTTAATATTGTTTGCATTACCATGGCATCAGATCCAAGAAGAGCTGTCATCTGCATGCTAGATATCTGTGAGCGAACGTCCCGGAAGCACTTCGACACCACAGGCATTGGATGCTGGTAGTGGGGCTTCCATAATCATATCAGTGAAGAAGTTGAGTAGGACAGCTTTGCTTAACACTGCTTGATGTGGTGAACTCAGGCGAGGACTTCCTGTAGGCGTTCACACGTCCGGGAGAGTTCACGGATTCACGGATTGATACACAGGATCGAGGCTTTTGCCCAAGTTTCCCGGGTCGGTGTTCTTCTTGTCGGTCAGTGGCTGAAAGGCACAAGTGAAAAAAGGGGGTGGCACTGCTCTTTATGTTCTCAGCGCGGGACAGTATGCTTGCCACCGCGAGGATTCGCATAAATAAATGTCTAATAGTGTTTTAAATTGGGTTCGAGAAGGAGCGTGTACAACCGTCGGAGGAAGGTCATTTCACGCAGCTACTACCCGAAATGAAAAAAAGTTTTGTCTAACGGATGTGTGTGCCCTGAGCTTGAAGATTTTCTTACTATGTCCCCGCCGGGTGTTTGCTGGGTCAACGGTAAAAAACCTGTTTGTCAAGCTTTGTTCAAACAGGGCGTAGGTAAGAATTAGGTCCCCTTGGAGGCGACGGTACTCCAGGGGAAATAGATCAAGCGTCGCGAGACGCGTTTCGTAGTCCACGGACTTGAGGCCGGCAACTATTCTCGTGGCGGCCCGCTGGACACGCTCAATGAGGGTAACGTCTTTCGTACGTCCTGAGTAGACAACTTTGTTGGCGTACTCCAGGAGCGGTCTGACGTCTCCCGTAATACGGGAGAAGGTACGTCGGATCATCCGTAAAACGGCGAATGCCTTTTGGGCCGATTTCTCATGGTGTAGTGCGAAGGACAAGTTTGAGGAGACCCAGATGCCCAAATCCTATTTGGTATCTATCCTCATGATGTTTTCTGGTCCCTTTTCATCATGAGGATAGATGCCAAAAAAGGTTTAGGCATCTGGGTCTCCTCAAACTTGTCCTTCGCACTACGCCATGAGAAATCGGCCTAAAAGGCATTCGCCGTTTTACGGATGATCCGACGTACCTTCTCCGGTATTACTCGCATGGACTTCCAAATGCTCTATGGGGCCTACGTCAGACCGCTCCTGGAGTACGCCAACCAAGTTGTCTACTCAGGACGTACGAAAGACGTTACCCTCATTGAGCGTGTCCAGCGGGCCGCCACGAGAATGGTTGCCGGCCTGAAGTCCGTGGACTACGAAACGCGTCTCGCGATGCTTGATCTCTTTCCCCTGGAGTGCCGTCGCCTCCGAGGGGACCTAATTCTTACCTACGCCCTGTTTGAACAAAGCTTGGCAAACAGGTTTTTTGCCGTTGACCCAGCAAACACCCGGCGGGGACATAGTAAGAAAATCTTCAAGCTCAGGGCACACATTCATTAGACAAAACTTTTTTTCATTTCGGGTAGTAGCTGCGTGGAATGACCTTCCTCCTACGGTTGTACACGCTCCTTCTCGAACCCAATTTAAAGCACTATTAGACATTTATTTATGCGAATCCTCGCGCTGGCGAGCA